AGTATGAACTGTATTAGTCAGCATGCTGCTATAACTACTTCAAAGACATGTGGTCTAAAGTAGAACTGGGAAAAACAGAATACATAGATCATTCTGGATTGGCTAATTGCACGGTACACAAGGAAGTATACAGTGACTTATAGACCTGCACAGGCAGGGCAAGAACAGAGTTAAACAGAGAGCTGACAGAGCTGGTGACAAGGTAAAAGTTAAGAAAGATTAAGATATTAGCAAGGCAATGCACTAGGCTTAATAAAAAAGAAGGGAGAAGAAACTGAAGTTAAAGAACTAAGAGGGGTCTACAGCAATGGTTTTCAAAGTATGGCCCCTGAAGAGCAGTATCCAAATCAACTGGGAATTTGTTAGAAATGTAAATTCTCAAGACCTGCCAAATCAGAACTCTGGGATGGGTCCCAAGCAATGCATCTTTTTTTTTTTTTTGAAACAGTCTCACTATGTCACCCTTGGTAGAGTGCTGTGGCATCACAGCTCACAGCAACCTCAAACTCTTGGGCTTAAGCGATTCTCTTGCCTCAGCCTTCTAACTAGCTGGGACTACAGGCGCCTGCCACAACACCCAGCTATTTTTTGGTTGTAGTTGTCATTGTTTGGCAGGCCCGGGCTGGATCCAAACCCACCAGCTCTGGTGTAGGTGGCTGGCGCCTTACCCTCTGAGCTGCAGACACCAAGCCCAAGCGATCCACCTATAAGAAGCCCTGTAGGTTATTCTGATGCATGGCAGAGATTGAGAACCACTGGTCTAGAGAAAGGAAGCAAAGTTTAAGACCTCAGAGTTATGGCATGTCATCTAGGAAGGAGGTACAGAGGCCGCTTGTCCTAATGGAGACAGATGTGAAGTGGCATAGAAGAACAGAATACATTCCAGGTTTCAAACAGAAAAGGGGGATCCAGGAGCTTATGTCCAAGGTGTGAGTCTTAGAGAGTGAGGGTAAAGAGGATTTGGAGTGAGCAACATAATAAGATATCAAGGGAAGAAAATTGAGAACTATGATGTGATTTAGTGGTGACAGTGGTGAGCAAAGACCAGAATAGCCTTCTGTTCCTCGTCAGTTGGGAAATTTGGACAAAGTAGGTAATTGTTCCACCAGCCAAAGGAAAAGGGAGCCAGGGGTATTTGCCTGAGGGTGGGCATGGGAGGTTTGCTGCCTAGGAGGAGAAAAGGGCAAGTTAAAGAGGTAAGGATGCATGTGAGTTTTTAACCCATTCACAGCAGGGGATCTTAGCCCACCGCTAATGAAAGCTAGGCTGAGGGCGGAGTAGGAAATTGTTCAGCAGTAGAAGTATTCCCAAATCCAGCATGAAAAACACAGCTCAAGGAAATAGTAGAGTAGGAGATCAGATCAGACAGAAACACTAAGTGAATAAAAGACATCTAGAGGACGGAGTAAACACATACAAATAAGATATACCAACTTTAAAATATGATGTTTTATTGACACAAATTCTTTCACTTGGAGCAAGAACAAAGTGGTGGCATGGGGAGTTGGTTGCTGTTTTTCCAGAGATTATAATCACAGCTATTAGGGTCCATTTAGAGGACAAAGAACATTTCTGATGGTAGAGGTAGGAGCTAAAATGAACACACATAAAATGTGCAGTTATTGTTTAAGCAAGGAGTCATGGTCAAAGTGAATTCCCATTCAATAAAGGAGAGTTGAGACAACCCACCAAATGCCTATGTGACATTCTCAAATAAGGCCCTATATTTTAATGATATTCCTTTGTTTAATACAGAGAAAGAAAAAAATAGAAATTAGTAATTTAGTTAAAAAGTGTTACATAAGAATAGACTTTTCTTTCATGGGCTTTCTAAAATCAAATGCTTTTTTAAAATATCTACTTTATAAAGCCCAAAACAATGAGTTTAAATATAAGTTTTTTAAAAATGTGTAATCAAATTTACCCCCACTACATAACATTTACCATTATACTAACCAAATTTATATAATAATTACTCTGAAAAGATAATAAATAATAGGTAAGTTTTAAGTTACTTCTCTAAAGAGCTTGAACTTTCATAACAACTTACATAACTATTTAACTTAATATGTAAGACAATCTGCTATAGATAAGGCATTGCTTTATGAATCATCCATGGTTCCTCAAAGAATAAGGCAGATGGTCACTTGCATTGTAAATCACAAATCCATAAGTAAATCTCAAGACAGCGGATGGTACATATGCCACAAAGCAAAGCAGGTACCCTTGGGGTACTGACTTTAATATCAAAGCAATATGGGGTGGTGCCTGTGGGTCAGTCGGTAGGGCGCTGGCCCCATGTATGGAGGGTGGGTGGCGGGTTCAAACCCAGCCCCGGCCAAACTGCAACAAAAAAATAGCCAGGTGTTGTGGCAGGCACCTGTAGTCCCAGCTACTTTGGAGGCTGACGCAAGAGAATCGCCTAAGCCCAGGAGTTGGAAGTTGCTATGAACTGTGACACCACGGCACTCTACAGAGGGCGATAAAATGAGACTCTATCTCTACATTAAAAAAAAATAAAGCAACATGAAACTATGCAAATATAAAATTCATAGCAACTAAATTATTTTTTCTAATAAAGGTTAATCATTTTAATAGAAGATCACTTCAAAGAACAAAGGAAAGAGCTTGTAAGTTCCTAAAACTACTTTATTTATTTATTTATTGAGACAGAGTCTCACTATGTCACCCTCAGTAGAGTGCCATGGCGTCACAGCTCACAGTAACCTCAAACTCTTGGGCTTAAGCAATTCTCTTGCCTCAGCATCCCAAGTATGGGGGACTATAGGCACCCGCCACAATGCCTGGCTATTTTTTTATTGCAGTTGTCGTTGTTGTTTAGCAGGCCTAGGTTGGGTTCAAACCCACCAGCCTCGGTGTATGTGGCTAGCAACCTACCCACTGAGCTACGGGCACTACCCAAATTACTTCATTTTGAAAAGCATGTTTTGTCTCTCAGTATTTTTAAAAAATTATTTAATTAGTACATTGTTTTTGAATGGTATGTAAACAAACTAATAACAAGGAAAACAATTTTAATGGCACATTCAGGAACTTACTTTTGAAATGACACGAGTGGCCATTACTTTTTTGTGTGAATTCAAATGTCATGGTTCTGATCCAAGTATTTTGTTTATGTTATTTGTTAAAAAACATTTTGTTAGGGTGGCATCTGTGGCTTAGTGAATAGAGTGCTGGCCCCATATACTGTGGGTGGCAGGTTTGAACCTGGCCCCGGCCAAACTGCAACAACAACAACTACAACAAAATCATTTTGTTAGGCTCAGCACCTGTAGCTCAGTGAGTAGGGCGCTGGCCACATACAATGAGGCTGGTGGGTTCGAGCCCAATCCCAGGCCTGCTAAGCAGCAATGACAACTGCAAGAAAAAAACAGCCAGGCACTGTGGCAGGTACCTGTAATCCCACCTACTTGGGAGGCTGAGGCAAGAGAATCGCTTAAGCCCAAGAGTTTGAGGTTGCTGTGAGCTGTGACACCACAGAACTCTACCAAGGGTGACATAGTGAGACTATCTCAAAAAAAATTTTTTTTTGTTAAATTAAGTTTTTTTTTTCTTTTTATTAGAGACAAGGTCTCGCTTTTTGGTCAGGCTAATCTCAAACTCAAGCTATCCACCCAGCTTGGCCTCCCAGAGTGCAAGGATTACAGGTGTAAGTCACAGCACCCAGCCTGAGTTAAGTTTTTCAAAACAGTTAAAACACTATACATGAGATTCTTGGGTAAGATACTAAAATATACTACTTCAGCAAAATGTTACTATAGCCAATATGGTTCAGTAATCATTTCCTTGCTTTTCTTGAAGGCAGCTTAAAAAATTATTTCCTAAATTTATTTCTGAAATAACCTAGATATAATGTCAGTTACTGTCTTTTAAGAATATTATAATGATAATATAATATTTGAAGAATATTTTGCCAGTAATCATGACTCATAAAACACTTTGTAAATTAAATTTCAGCCACAATCAACATATATGAAATAAATACATTAGTGCTCATATACAGCTTACTTATGAGATTATTTTTTGCTATCTCTCTTTTTTTTTTTTTTT